GTCCAATTATTTGTAAGGGTGACTAAATAACCCAGAAAGGTATAGGAATGTAGTATAAGTATGCAAACTTGATTTATATTGAAGGATTTTACAGAGAAAATGTTTTGGGCATAGCCTCAATAATGAATGTAATTTCAGCTTACTGAGAAAGAAATATGGGAAAAAAAAAAAAAATTCAGCATTATTTGAAAAAGTTCAGGTTAATGAATAATTTCAAGAATAGACATTCTAAGAAATGTTAGTTCTAGTTAGACATTAAAAATTTTGAGTCTTTGAAATTTGTATCATTTAAAAAATTAATTTATTGAGAAAAATCAACATTAATTTTTAATAAATTGCATCAGTGGGGGACATTCAGCATTCATTTAAACTTTTGATTAATTAAAATTCTAATATAATGATGAACTAATTTTTAATATCTGAGGAAAAAATATTATTTTTAATATGGGGAAAATGTTAATACAGTACAAAGTCTTTAATCCGGAATAATCTATAACCCGGACCTCAAAAGCGCTTACGCATGCACATAATATGTTTACGCATGCGCATATGCGTTTACGTTTACGCATGTATAACGGATGGTATAAGCTAGGCTAAAATTATCTAATTATCTATTTCAGTTAATGTTTCAGATTGCGTTGTTCCTTAACCCTTTGACGGTTATGGAAATGAGCAGTTTCCGTTTACTTAATTCGCGCAACATTAGGAGTAAACAGTAGTCTAAAGTTGCAGCTGTTTTCCCCCACCGTTCTTCCGAAAATGTCACCTTTCACTGGCGATGCCATAGATAGCTCGCCTCGCGCGTTTTAAAAATTTCTTAAAGTATTTGTAGTACATAAATAACAGTTTTTACGTACTTTAAAATAATTAGTAAACAGTAAATTATAAATGATTATAACCAATTATATAAATAATAATAGTTAATTATAAATATAAGACAAATATTAAATTGAAAGGACTAAATAAATACAACTAGTGTAAAACTTTATGAAGCACATATAAATACAGTAATTACCTAAACCTAAAAATCTTTTTGTGTGTGATATATACTTTAAAACATGGAATTGCACACAATGGGGCATTACGGTCTTTTGCAATATGTACGTGTTTCACGGCGAATTCTTTTTCCATTAGGCATCATTTTTGCTGCAACATACCACACATCATCGTCTAGTAGGTTCTTTCTTTTTTTTTTTTTTCTGTACGGTGGAATATAATCAGGAAAGTGGTGGGTTGACAATCTTAAAGTATTCGAAACTGTTTCAGCAGGTTTTGAATTTCAAATGTCTATGTGAGTGTGATATTTCTCAACAATTCTTTCAGCTAGTTCAATTCTGAATTCTAAATTTGATTTTTTATTCCCTTCCCCCTTTTTTTTGATAAGCTTTCTGTATCACAATCATAATCATCATCATAACTTATCTAACTTTCGCTTTTCGAGCCATTTTACTGTACAAACACCCTAAAAAAAAGCGCCAAAATACGTATAAAGAAGAACAAGGTAAAAAAAAAAAAAAAAAAAAAACATTACCCCCTTCATTATGCAAAAGAAATTCATAATAAAGGGGGAAGGTTATTATGAAAAGATATTCTGGGACCCGTACTGCCATCTGTAGACAGTAAAACTAACTAAATTTCCGCGAGTGGCAATTCGTTTGAAACACAATCAGTGCAGAATAATAATGGCGAACGAAGCTCAGCTCATCAGTGCGCATTGGGTAAAAATTTCACTACGAGAGTAGTGCTCGTTTCTAACCATTTCGGTCAAAATCTTGCTCCCGAGCGGAACTCGTTTGCGCGCATTATGAAGCACGATTCTGATTGCGAGCTGAACTCGTTGCATAACCATCACCAGGGTTAATCTTCTAATTGGATCACGGCTTATTATTTTTTGCCAAAAAATGTTAGAAAAACAATTTTACAAAAAAGTTAAGCTTGATCTATTTTGATTACAAATGTACAATAAAAAGTTTCTGATTCTGGAGTTGGCAAAGGATCTACAAAGCGAAAGCATGTTTCGATGTCCATTAAACAAAAAGTGAAATTACTGCAAAAAATGGGCATGAAGAAAGTGATAGAGAGGTTAGTGAAAACGAAAAAATTTCGATTGACAAGTTAGTCGGTGTTCTCAGCACAGCAATTACAGGACTTGAACAACCGAACTTTGTAACTGAACAAGAAGTTATGTCTGTTTGTAGAATTAAAGAGAAAGTATCAGCACATAAAACGAAGCAACTTAAACAACTTACATTGAAAGAAATGTTTAATAAAGTAAACAAATAAATATTAAGTTTTTTTTTTGTAAATTTTTATACCCTTTAGATCATAATTGTTCTTTATTTCATAAATTACGGTTTCATATTTTTAATTTTATAATTTCTGCATGCCATCTTACCAGATTTAAATTGATGATCTATAATCCGGAAAAACCCCTAATTTGGAATCGTCAAAGTCCCGATGAGTCTGAATTAAAGACTTTGTACCGTATAATTAATTAGAGTGTAGTTATATACAAACTGAACTATGCATAGTCAAGAATAATAAAGCATTTCTTATAATTATTGCCAATGAAAATAGCAAAAGAACTTGGTCATGTTTAAATTAGATTTTAATTATATGGTATACAGATGTGTGTGGGATTATGCATATTTAATTATGTGTATTGACATGCAGTTGTATGGTCTAAAGCTTTGTTCTTATGAGGGTTTATTAACATGTAGTTTGAATGTGTAAAATTTACATATTTTGTACTGAAATCTAAAAAGTTTTCCCTTGTCAAATTCAAGGATTTAATTTTTTTAACATATAAAAATAAAGATCTTCTTAGGGAAAAGAGGAAATAGAAGAAAAACTTGTTCTTTAAAGCAGGTTTTCTTAAATTTTTTGGTGTAGGGACCCCATAATATTTCTGAAAATTTTGTGCGATCCCAATAAGCATTGTGCAAATCTGACACACGCGCGAATGAAACAATCAGTTTCTTCATTTGTTCTGTAATATACTATTGCAGTTTTAGGTCATTAATTTTAATTTTTAAAGTAAAATAAACGTTTTTATTATAAAATAATGCTTCGAAATGTTTTCGTTTTTCCTTTGTGTATATTGTCTTATCTTTACCTGTTTTCAGGTACATTATGTAAAAATATTTGGTAATTGTAAAATTATTATAATAAGTTAAAGAAATATCAAAATTGCTAAAATTTTTGGCACACCCCTACTGCGGTCCCGTGATCCCAATTGGAGTTGCGACCCACAGTTTAAGAAACACTGCTTTTAGTTGTAGTTTGAGGTCATGACCTACAGTTTAAGAAACTCTGCTTTAAAGGCTTGTGTATAAAAGATTAAAAAATAAAGTTGTAGTTCTTTCTGTTCTATTTTTAGATTTTATTTTTAAAAGAAATCTTTCTAGGATTATTATTATTTAGATTTCTAAATAATAAATGAAATATGAATTTAAGACAGCAAAATTTCATAAAATTATCTTCATATTGTTCTGTTTCTTCCCCTAAAATATGAAAGTAGTACATTTATTGAATTAGACTATTTTCTTTCAAAGTAATTCAGGATCATTTTGGCATATTGTTTATATTTATCTGTATTTGAAAAATTTAATATTGCATGAAAAGAAGAATAACAGTTTACTGAATAACTACCAGCTTTTTTTTTTTTATGTAAATGAATGTATAGTAAGTAGTTATAATAGTATGTTTTTAAAATTTCTGTAATGCTCTTTCTTTTTTGCCTGAAGGCTTCATCAGAGAGCCTTATGTTCGAAGTTACTTTGTGACTTCAGTAAGTATAGGTAGGTTCTCTGCAGATGTTATTTATCTTTTTGCGTAATTTAACTGTTATAGCTTGTGTATATACTGTTATAATTTTTAATCATTCATTTATCATGTTTTTAGTACATTATATTTGAAATGATTTTACAGTTTACATATTTTGCTGTATGATTTATGATTCATATTTTCATAAGAAACTTTTTTTAATGGTACATGTCAACAAATAAGCCTTTTGAAATTAAATTATTTTGCCTTTAAAATGTTTTAGTCCTTGAGAAGCACTATTATTTTCATAATGAATTGGATTAAATCTAGAATTTTTAAAACTTCATTGCTTACACTCTTCTTTCATGGAAAAAAGTGCCATTATTTAGTCTGTGGCTTAGAAAAACAACATTCATGAAATGATTCCCATGTCTAATTTCTTGTCACTTTTTTAATTCTTCTTATTATTTTAATTTACTTATATATCCTCCCTTTTTAGAAAGCATGTAACTTTGGAAAAAGTCCTTTTGTTTTGTAAAATAACATTATTTTTGAAAACTGTTTTAATATTAATGTAGAATTTTTGTGTATGTGTGTATATGTATAATAAATTCATAAATAGTTATGTTATGTACTTATGCTAGAGGAGGGCTGATTTATTTTTTTGCTAAATATATTCATGGGAAGTCTATTGTTTGTGGTATAAATTCCAAAATAATATTTTCAGTTTATTTGTAGTCAAAAAAAAATGATACCAAAATAAATGTTGAGCATCAGGTTTAAATAAAAGATTGATACAAGAGCAATTATTTCTAAGTTTGAATCATTTTTAACTGTGTTTAAATTTTTTTACTTTCCATTAAAGTTAATATTTTACTAAATTTCAAGATGTGTATTTGAAAAATATTGTATATATAGGTGTTTTTTTTTTTTTTTTTTTTGTGACACAAGGACTCTTAAATAAGTTTTCCTTAAATGGCAACTTACAAAATATCTTTCTTATTAACTAAGTGTGTCATCTTCTTTCATCTTACGCCATATCAGTAGACTTTGATCTTCTTTCAGAGAAGAATGCTTATATAATGGCTGCCTCAAACTACAGAGTTTACCAACGGTGTTTAGATAATTTCTTTTATTTTTTATGTTCAGTGATCATAAGTGTAATATTTAATTTATTTATTTAGTTGTTAAATATATCTTTTACTCATTTTAATGATATATCCACCTTTTTTTAGTGTTCCTAGTGGGACCAGCACTGTTGCTATAGATAACAAAATAGAACAAGCAATGGTATGTACCTTTTTGAAAATTTTGTGACTGCCATGAGTTGTTTTCCCCATTTTTTTCGTATATTATTGAGAGAAGTATTTTTCTAGTGGTTTCTAAATGAATATAAACATTATATCATCAGTACATTGTTTTGTTATACAATGAGAATTTATTTTTATAAAATAGCATTAGTTTTTTATGGTGGATAAAAGTAATTTGTTTATAAACAGTAAATTTTTTGTGACTTAATTTTGCATGTTGCATTATTAGGGTTATAAGTTTATCTTTGAATAAATTTTCGTAATTAGTTTTGTGAATTTTGTGGGATTTTTTAGACTGTGTGGATGTCAGAATTTGGTGTAATCTTCCAAAAAAATACATTAATTTCAGAAATATTCCTATTAATTTTTGAGAAATTTATATTACAATTGGCAAATTATTCTTAATGTATAAATAGTTTTAATACAACCTTTGATTAGGCTTTGCAATATATATATATAATATATATATATATATATATATATCTATATATATATATATATATATATATATATATATATATACTGCAGGATCAATAATTCCCAAAATCTCAATTAAAATTTTGAATCTTAAATTATCCTTCAGTTTTTTCTAAATTAAAAATGTTATTTTCAAAAGCAAATTTTAGTCATCCTTCATATTATCTCAGTACCATGCTGAATGATCCTTTTTTTGAATTTCAGAGTTTGGTATTTTATGAAGGGATTTATGTGTATAATACAGTATATGAAAATGATGTTCTTTTAACTTTCCAAGCATTAAATTTTGATAAATTGTAAATAAATATGGCTACTATGGTAAAAAAGTTAGCCCTAAAACCCTGGAACTCTCCAAAATGCCAAGAATAAATGGCATTTTTTATATTATAATTTCAAAATGACTCTCTCATATTGTATCTTGATTTCTTTTCTTCGAATATACATCCAACCTAAAATTGGATCCATAAGCAGCTGGCAGAAATTTTCATGTGTAACAAATTGGAATGTGGAGTTTTTACTTCCGAATACCCTTGGAGGGTTAAATGGAAATTTTGATCTTCCGTGAAGGCATTGACTGCATGACTGGTTTATAAATCATTAGCACCAAACCAAAGCTATTAATCTGCAACTTTTGTTGTTCCCATTTACATCCATTCTGTTTTTTACATTCATCCATTTTCATAATTCTACAAAGAAAAGAATTCTGAAAGAAAGAGATGTTGGATGTTTTGTAAATTTATGATGTATTTTTTACAGCCTCATCTGAACTGAATGTTATACCTCAAAAAATTTTTGAAGAGACTGAAACAAGTGAAAATTTGAGGGCACAATATCAGTTGATTATGATCATGGCAACATTTTTTTATTTGAACTCTAATAATTTTTGTCAGTGACCACACTTGTGCATGGTCTCTTTTCCAAGCTCTTACCAATGTGGCAACAAATCAGTTTGAATGTGTGGTGTCGCCAATTGAGCAGTTTCAAAGAATTCATCTTCCTGAGCTCATTAATCATATAGGAACTGTGTCCATCCCAATAACATGAGACACATGCAAGTTTGATCACCTGACAAAAATTATTGGAGTTTGGATGAAAAGTGTTGCCAAATGTATCCTGATCTTGCCTGATCTTGTGCCCTCAGATTTTCAATTGTTTCACTCTATTCAAATTTTCTTTCAGGTTATAATGTTCAATTTAGTCATCTTTACGCTAATAAAGCTAGGTTTTTTTTCATGAATGAGGAATAACGAAGTTCATTAAAAGAAACAAAGTTATCGAACGAGACAGGCAGTATACTGTTTACTGATCATTATTCTTTTATATAAATGAAAGAGAGCATAGAAAAAATGCACCATGACTTTACAGACAACCCAATAAATATTCGTTGTTGAATTTCGAAGAGCTCATGCAAGCCGCCTCTTTCTTGTTTCTTTGTTTATTAATTCCAAGAAAAACATATACCTTGCATGGTCTAATAATATTTTTATGAACATTAAATTTTAGACTAAAGCATGATGTAAAAATAAATTTACAGTATTTTGCTTAAGATAGCTTTAACAGGAAAATTGCATAACACTATTCCTAGTACAGTCAAAAGTCGTTAATTCGGACACCCATAATCCGGAATGATCTATAATCCGGACCTCAAAGCTAAAAACTTTCTGCGCATGCGCCACGATGACACATGCGCATAGGCGTTTACGCGTGCATGTAAGACCTTTACGACTGTGCATATGCGTGTGCGCAAGTGCAGAATACATTTTCGTGTGTGAGTTTTATGTATAATGGACAGTATAAGCTAAAATTATCTAATTATCTATTTCAGTTAATGTTGATGATTGCGTTGTTCCTTAATCTTCGAATTGGATCCGGGTCCGATTATTCTTTGCAGACTGTAAGAGCAATTTTATAAAAGTAAACTTGAACTCTCGATTATGTGAAATAGAATTTCCGATGTTGGAGCTCCTAAAGGATCTACAAAACGAAAGTATGTTTCGATGTCCATCAAACAAAAAGTGGAATTGGTGCAAAAAATGGATAAAGACATGAAGAAGGTGACAGAGAGGTTAGTGAAAACGAAAAAATTTCGATTCACAAGTTAGTCGGTATTCTCGGCACAGCAATTACGGGACTTGGAATAGCGGAACTTTGTAACTGAACAAGAAATTGTGTCTGTTTATAGAATTAAAGAGAAAGTATTATCACATAAAACGAAGCAACTTAAATGACTTACATTGAAAGAAATGTTTAATAAAGTAAACAAATAAATATTAAGCTTTTTTTTTGTAAATTTTGATACCCTTTAGATCGTAATTGTTCTTTATTTCATGAATTACGGTTTCATATTTTTAATTTTAGAATTTCTGCATGCCATCTTACGAGATTTAAACTGATGATCTATAATCCGAAAAAATCGATAATCCGGAATCGCCGAAGTCCCGACGAGTCCGGATTAACGACTTTTGATTGTAGTATAGAGAAAGCTTCAGTATGAAGGTTTGCATGCTGAAGTTGAATGAATTTTCAATTGAAGAAGACAACATTGCGTAGTTTCAGATTTAATGAAAGTCTCCTTGGATATAAAACTTTCAAGCAAATTCAGTCTGAAACCTTATTAAAAAAGAAAAAAGATTTTGTGAAAGATCTGTGGTAAAAAAGAAAAGGATGCATGGTAGCTTTTGGCATAAATCGTGTTACATAATTTAAACTGCTTATTATTTTAATTCTTGAAAAATGTGGAATTTTTTCAATTTTCTGCCTTCCCTTTTTTTTTATAGTTTTCTTATTCATGCACGTTTATTTGTACTTTATTTTTTATAAAAAATAAAACGTTTAATGCAGATAACAGTGAAGTATCAAATCCTTTTATATACGTAGTGACCATTTTCAATTTAATCTGTTACATCTAATTAATAATGTAAAAAAATCCACACTTGGTGTGTTTATAATTTGATTCACGTCAGCTTGAGGAATAACCTAGCAAGTGATTTTTAATTGAAAATAAATGAAGGATTAGTTTCTGTATGCTCTTTGAGTATCATGACTTGTTAATTTTTTAGGAAAATTGTTTTCTGTGTTATGATTTGTCTTTTTTTAATAAATTTGTTTTTTTTTTAAACAGAATAGTTTAACATATATAGTTTAAAAATATTGTTAATAAGGTATTAATGTTTTTATATCTATGTACCAAACAGTTTTTACTGTCATTGGCAGGTTTCTGCTGAAGTTGTTTTTATTAGTTTAAACTGGCATGCTGCTTTTTAAATCTGCCATCTCAGTAGTAGCTAGTAGAAATTTGCAAGATAACTAAAAATAAATTGAAGTATTTTGAGAACTGAATAATGTATTTTAAAATAAAATAAATTCAACTGCAATGTTTACAATATTTATTCAAAGCTTATGAAACAATAATTAAATGTTTACCATATCAGTTTCGCCATTGAAATTCAGCCTGACCTTTTCCATGCTTTTTAGTAAGAGACCAATTTAACTGCTGTTTCAAAACCAAAAGAATTTTTCAATTTATTATGAATAATTGAAAAGTTGTAGAATATTCTTATAAGTTTATCAATACTTGCAGGTAATGTCATTTTGCAAACCAGAGTTGTGAAATCTTTATTAGTGATTGCTTTTGTTAAACTAGTTCACCGTGTAAAAGAAGAAACATGCGTATGCAAGTAATATGAATGATTTCTTATAAATGATTCAAAGTTATCTGTTGAAATCCATCTTGGTCTGCCGGCTATTTTAGTTCTATAACATTTTTTAAGCTAAGTGCATTGCCTCTAATGATTTCTGAACAGATGCCATAGGCTTCGTGACAGATGCTGATGAACTATATAAAGTGAGCAGAACACCTTAAGCTATCAGAAACAAAGAGCTTTTTCTGAATTCCATTTTATTCTTATTATGTGTTGCTAGAACTTTCCATCCCTTTTTACTTCCGTGTACAAAGTAAAGTATTGTAATCATGAAAAATTCTGGGTACCATATTTCAACGAAAATATCCATTTTGACCGCTTATGCAATTTAACGATGCTTTTGCTTGACATCTGTACATAAGGACAGAATAAATGACTCCTTTTTTTTCCCAAACAAATTATAAAACTGATTTAAAATCGATTTAAAAGAGATTTTTTTTCATGGCATCTGTACATATGTAGTATCTTGCATAACTCAAAAACGAGTAGCCTTAGAGCATTGAAATTTTATATATAGGACTGCTATAGGATGTAGTTATGCACCTCCCTTTTTGGTGGCAATCAGCCACACCGAAAGTATATAAATATATACATATATACCCACTCTGTTACTCTGTGAGCTCAGTTTTTTTATTCTTATATGTTGGTAAATTGTGCATTTTTTGCTTTAAAAATGATTTAATTATGTTGTTCTTATCTTCTGGTTAAGGTTTTTATGCCTTTAGTTAACCTGAATGCAATAGTTGTACAGTTATCAACAATTTAAAAATTGTTTCAGTGTGGCTAAGCGTAATTTTTTTAC